AAGACCAATATAGAAACAATGGTAGTTATATCCCATATGCCACTACTTTATCACGTGACCGGTGATACCATAGATATATACAATAACAAATCAACAGTCTTGCTACTGCTGTACAATTCCATTTCACACTTGACCTCTAATGAATATATTTCAAGTTCACGCCGACCTACGCCCTTCGACATAACAACAGGTGTCGTGTTTGATAATTATTATTTTATTTGTTGGTAAAGCTAAAAATCTAATCTCTGTTGATTCACATGTCAAGTTCACTAACCTGTTCGTGATACTGGTTGATAACGTGAGATAAATTATGGTACAAGCAGGTTGGACGCAATTGTGTGTGGGGAGACGTAAATAACGCATGCTGAGTAAAGCTTGTATTTGGGACGAATCAAGCAGGTCAACGTTGTTCAGAACTGCGATGACTAACTAACTTGCTAAATGCATATAACAATGGCGGGTATACGACTGCCATGGAATATGTAACGCTAGAACGTAAATTTAATCTAACATAAAATTCACTTAACTGTGTCACAGTGCACAATCAGCGGGAACAAATTCGCCTTCCGGATCATGAATGTGTTTAAATTTACATAAATTGCTTATTTATATCAAACAGAAGTCTTGTAAATAACAACCCCCTCTGTGAAAATCATTGACGAACTGACTAGTTGTTCAAGTAAAATAAAAATGTATGTTATTAAATATAATCCCATGATGTGTTTGTCAGTTTGATTTTATGCCACGCAAACTAATACTACGGCAAAACATATGTAATCTTATCTGACGCGTGTGAACGCTAACCACCAGTGGACAGAGATATATTATTATCAGGCCATGGTCAATATGACAGCACGCTTTACAAATTTAAAATACAACCGACGGTTTACACCTTTATTTGTATTCCGTGTGTAAACGTCCTTGGCAACCAAGGTCAAAGTAACTTCTCATCTATGCAGCGCTGATATGGGACACACTGTATAGATATATACCACAATCTCGGAAATATCATCATATTTTATATAGTCATATCCCCATATAGTCATACCATAACATATAGATACTCATATATGTTTCCCACTCAGACACAAAATGATCAATACTTTTGGTTTGTGTAGGTTGATCTTCTTCGCATGTTTATTTAAATATGGTAAGTTTTTCTAAATGACTACTTAACAGTTTTCGATGAGGAATACAGATTATGTAATCCTACTCCTGTGCGAATAATCCTTTAAGTTGTTTTTTTCCGTGATTGCAGGACATTCTGAAGAAGTTTGTTATGGACAGCTGGGTTGTTTTACTAACGACCCACCACACGACAATGTTAAAATGCTTCCGGACACACCGGACGACATTGATACTGTGTTTGTGCTCTATACTAGACTGAACCCAGATGAAGGACACATTATAAACCGAGAAGATCCAGGCACTTTTATTGACTCCCATTTTAACCCGTCACAGCAAACTGTCTTCCAGATTCATGGATGGAAATCCTCTGGCAAAAAATCATGGAATGCTGACATGAAGAACGAGTTTCTGAAATATGTAAATTAGTTTCTTTGTGTATATTAATTCTAAAGCAGAAGCAAAACATATCGCACTCAAAATGTCTTCACTTTTAGGTTCAACTTAAACGCACGTACATTTTAAAGAACAGCCAGCTTACGCCAACGTAATTACCTTCAGCACTAAAAGGATTGTGAGCGACTATTACGGCGTTCACGCTATATCATGTCGATTTAAACTGAGGGTTATGTCTGACATGATCAACAGGCATTTAAGTATAAACTTGAAAGTGTTCACATCGGAATGCGACGATTAGTGTTTTTCAGACCGTTATGTGACATATATCCGTTCCATAACCAGAAACAAAAATACGATATTTCATGCAGGGCACTAAATGAACTTGATTTCTCCGTGTTGTTATTTAGGGTGACATGAATGTTATTGTGGTCGACTGGGAGAAAGGGTCGGCCGGTTTTTACCCACAATGCGTTGCTAACTCAGAAGTGGTCGGCGCCGAGATCGACGCGCTATTAAATGCGTTGACGATGTATATGGGTCTGGATGTAAAAGATGTATATTTGGTTGGACATAGTTTGGGTGCTCATGTTGCCGGGTATGCTGGTGAAAGGAACCCCGCGATTGGGAGAATTACTGGTAGGAAAACTAACCTGGAATTAAGGTCCACCATTTTCGCTGAAAGACCGATTTGAACGTGCCCTAATAATCTCGATTATATATCTGTTTCAGTATATATTCGGGTATCTTAGTAATTTGTGCATTTTGTGTTTCTTGTTGTGTTCAAGTACGTTCACATTTTATAGTTCATTATCATCTATATATCCCAACACAGAACAAAAGTCACTATGAAAAACACATCGTCAACCATGATCATGACGATTTCACGGCTCTAACTTGCTAATTGCAGGTCTAGACGCTGCTGCTCCGTTATTCGAGGGCGAAGACTCAGCTGTTCGTCTCGATCCATCTGATGCGCAATTCGTTGACGTCATCCACAGTGCTGCTGGCCATAGTTTGACAAATTTAGGAATTGGCATGAAGGGGGAGGAGAGGGACACGTGTAATGTATATAACATAGTGGCAATAATATAACGTGTTTTAAATAATACATTCCGTAATGGGTGTTTATCTAATTCAATATATTAGAGTGGTCATGTGGACTTCTACCCCAACGGTGGATCAGAACAGCCAGGTTGTCTTTTACCGATAGCAGGAGGTAAGTGAATTTATATCGGTATATATTAATATTCACAATACACACGGCATCTCCAGTGGTATCAGGTATATTATATACGTAAATATATAATAAATATCACATATATACATGTATTACATTTCCGTCATATTGATTATTATTTTAATAGATGTATGTGACCATAAACGTGGCAGGACTTACTTCATAGAATCGATCAACCAGTGTCCTTTTACATCTTACCCGTGTGAGCTTGGGCAATGGGAAGGCTGTGATACGTGTGGAGCCATTGGTTGTTCATACATGGGTTTCCATGCAAAGGAAAGTGATGCCCGAGGTGTTTTCTATTTGGAAACAAACAGCGAATCACCGTACTGCCAGGGTTGAAGCTGCAATTCACGACATCGTTAATCGGAATTAAATATTAACATAACAAATTGTCTATTTTAACGTTGTTCTGATTGTAGTTATCAAATAAATCTGAAACTTTGTGAAAAGCATTAAATATTTCGAATAACTGTTGTTTTGTATATGAACACATGACACAAAGTTGAAAAGATATTTTCAAGATCAAAATGCAGTCAGCCTATAATAGATTGAATAACAAATGTAAAACATATACTGATAATATACGTGATGACCATGACTGCCAATCAGATTCGCGCATTATATGTAGCACATTTATTTGTTCACGTATTTTGTGTATTTTAACAGTTTATAGACATATTATTTTCATTTATTTGTTGAACAAGAATGATGTTGACATAAACCCAAGCAGTGTTCTAGCTCTATATACAGATCGTTTCAGTGTTCTAATGCCAACTGGAACGCAATGTGGCGTATAACTGCGCACTGGGTGGCGGCAGCTTTGTTTATAAAAAATCATTCTTTGTCAGGCTGAAGACCCACATGAGCTCTTCAGGTCGCTGAAACAGTATTTCTGCCTCTGTTGAGATGATCTTTTGTATAATGTGTTCGATCTATCTTTATAGGTCAATATACTAATCTACATTCAGTTGATTCACATAGTAGGTTCCATGACATTATTAATAATATAGTATTTACACGCAATTTCAACGATGTGCGTGTTATTGAGATAAGTTGTACCGACTCAGCAGGATCTGTGAAAGTGATAAAACTCAAACAACATCAGCAGCGTCGTTGTTCACCGTTGTGACAAACGTTCAATTAAGTGCCATTTTACAAGTGTATGTGTGTTGTAATAATTTCTAGTAATGTTCCCGCAACAGGCGGAATAGTTCGGTCACGTTGACTTTGTCTTCTTCATAGTGTGATTTTACCTATCCAACATTATACATTATGTTTTAGAATAGATTGATCAAATAATTTTAATATAATTTTAATTCTTCTTGGGGCTAAAATAATGTCCGTCGTGTTTTTGTTATTTTTCGAAGATTTAATAATTAGACATATATTTTACTGTAAAATACTCCATTTTTGCGTAGAACTAATTTTCGTTATTTCACAGAATGAATGATTCAGTGAAAATAAAATCCAGCGAATATACTTTATTCCCTATATTTTACATTCAAATCGGTGAAAATAAATTCTATACGAAACACCAACAAAGTATTGTCAGCAAAAATTAATTCCAGCTAAAATAAAGTACAGGATATATTTATTTATTCAAGGTACAGTTACGTATGTGAGGAATGTAATACATAGCGCTTAATAACTATTTGTGCTAACATTTACATGGTAACTAGGATAACAATCCCGAACGCACAAAAGACCATAAACTTGCATTACAATAATACCAAAAATATATCTTGTTGAAATACTTTTCTTAGTTGCATCGAAAATAAATTTGGCAAGGTTTTTAACAACAGACATTTAGTGTTGCTCATTAAATGAATAAATTTGTCTATTGCGGGGAAATTAAGACAATTTCAGGGATATATTTTATTCTCAAGGCATTATGGAATGGGCAAATCAAACAAAAGTGAAATTCATCCTCAACTTGGTTAAGGTTACAATAAACACAAATTCTGTCAGCCTTTT